ATATATTTGTGCTTGGAATAAAAATGGCAATAATTTGCTTTAAACACTCGAGTTGAAAAATATTCTGTTAGTAATATACCTAAGAAAGAAGGTTAACAAGGAGGAAAAATACATTTTAATAGTGTTTGGATTATTATATGGATCAATAATTAAAAAAAAAAAAACAGTTTAATGTGAAGTTCGATTAATAATTATTTTCCTGTTTTTCCAAAGATATTTTTGAGATTTGAATGTAATTAGGATTTAAAGAATACTCAAAAAATGGTTAGTCTTATATTTATGAATACTATGAGAATAAATGCACAAAGTTATACTTCTTTATAAACACATAAAAATCATTGTTTCAAGTATTTTAGCTACTCGTAACAGTCTACATTTATGATAATAAAGTATGTAATTCATAATTATATTTATCATTTAAATAACTAATAGTATTTAATGTAGTTTCAGATATCACAAGTAATGTAAATGTATTGTCTAAGGTACTTGCAAATATAAAAAAAATCTTTACTACCACAAAAGTAATCACGGAAGAAAAATGTATGGAAGAACAATGTAAAAACTATTGGCTGAAGATAAAACTATTTAATGGAGTCGCTTAAAGTCGGTCTAGTTTATTGCTTGCACGTAAGTATTCGCTTATAAACCACAATTTCTGTATAACTACAGCGTTTTGTAAAAAAATGGTTACTGATTAATGAAATTAAAATAAATTTCTCATTTTCAAATGTATTAAGTCGACTATCAGCTATACATAAGCTGTTACTGTCCCAATCATCAGCATGCTTTTATGAGGGAGTATTTTGCTTATAAAAATAATCATGTTATTAAAAAAAATATGGATTGAAAAATTACAAAACATTTAATATTTTCATACCAACTTGATAGCTGGATGCTGCGAATTATTATGTATGGCTAAAAATTCTTATAGTTTTCGACAACCATTATGTTTTATTAACATGTGTATATTTAAGGCATATAATATAATGGACATATAATCTCAGTAATGTATATGTATTACTTACAGGGTTAACAATACCAATGCCAGAAATAGTATACATTTATGAAATTGGAAAGCTTATTCTCAGAAAGGTCAAAGGTCGGAATACAAAAAGTTCTTTTGTACAAGTCGAGTGGATACGAGATCGATTTAGTATATATTACAACTTCAAATTGATTTTAATATTTATGTATATAATTTCCATTTCTTAACGTTTTTCTGGAAAAAAGAAATATTATTATTAACTTACTTTTGAGGAAGATATTTCAAATTAAAATGTCGCTCCTGCCAAATTTAATTTACACATTTTTAATTCTTCTATATATACATGAATATATTTTCGTATACAATATTGAAAACAAATACAAACGCTCTATTGACTTTTGTACAAAGCAATTATTCCTTTTTACAGAAAAAGTGTGATAGTATTTCACTCTTTATTAATTGTAATATTTTGTTAAGTGAACAGTTTTCCTTTAGCATACTGGGTACATCGAAAAATGGCCACTACCTCCGCAATCATCAATTTAGTAGACAAACAGTAGTGCAGCACAGCTAGCAGTGCCGGAATTGGCATTGATTTCGCCGACACGAATGTGAAGTTCCACGTATATTTGGAGCATGCCCGGTCGTTGTACAAATACTGTCGTGTTTGATTTGTAGTGAGTAAATTCTCTTTGCGAAAGTTCTCGATTGTGTTAAATTCACACTGCTAATTATAGCATTCGATGATCAAATGATCAGTTGTTTGTTATTCATTTAGTGATCTGCATGGATGTTTTTGTTCTACTCGTATTTCTACTGCTAAATAGCTGTGTCTGTATTGTTGTGTTTCGATTTGAAGAGCGGAATACGATAGTAAAATTAACGAGTAGGTACCTACTGTGTTGTCATGTTATATATCGATACCGTTCCGATATCTATATATTGGGTCCCTCTGGACATTAATAGCGGAAAACCATAATTTATTTCGATATCGCCCATTCTATTCAGAATTCTATATTTATTACAATCCGGTTTTTTATTTCGATATTAAACATTAGATAATCGACATTTTATGGCAGATAACTGCAATGTCTCTGTTGTTGTGAGTGCTCATTGGCGGCAGTAGTCACTTGTCATTAGGTGAGTTGCATGCTCGTTCGTCCCCTGTGTTATAAAAAGAAAATAAAGGAACAAATTTAATATATTCGTTATTGGGCCAATATATAGATATTTTAATGGGTGAGAATAAAATAGTAATCCTGCCTGTGCTATTAGAATATGCTGGCGGGGCACCAGTGATGATGATAGATGACTCACTCGAGGATGAGAGCAGATCAGTTAGCCCATTGTGACGAATTCCACAAAAATCAACCACAATGGTTTTAAGGAGGAACTGTGTAGAGGTTGACCTGATTGGGTATATAGCAATGGGGCTATTAGATCCCATTATGAACAATTCCTTTCGACCCAATATATAGATATTGTAAATATAATATATGTATATAAATATTTATACATACATATATACTATTATTTACTCTGTAGATGATAGTTATGCCTATCAGATGAATCATTATCTTATTTTCTATTTTTAAATATATAAGAAAAATTCAATACCTAAGCTACTCGGTTTGTATTTTGAACAATGTCTTTCACAATTTAGTATAATAACATAAGCGACAACACATAGGAATAATCTGAATCGAGGTTGAAAAAATATCTTCTGTATTTTATCCCTCCTTAAATAATACCTTCAGTCTTTGTGAGTAGCTTTTACATAATTGTTTAAAGTTTAAAGTTGCATAATATAGATAACTAGCGACCCGCCCCGCTGCAATGCTGATACTAAATATACCTACCTACTACAGAATGTCCTTATAAACAACGTTTACAGCTTCTTTGTCATTAGACAATACGAACATGATAAAGTGTTATAGAACGAAGCGCGGCCTTCGACGCGGTACTTATAGGCACGCGCCGCCGGCCAAACCGGTACCGCCGCACCGCTATGTTCCTGCATTTTAAATCTGTAATATCTTCGGAAAATATTTAAATTATATGCTGTAAATTGTGGTCATATTAATTTATATTAAATGCACAATGTATTTAAGGTACTTAATTGCGTAAAAATTAATGCTGTATTGCTTCAAATCAGTTCGTAAATAAGTCATTTCTTCCCGTAAAATTAAAGGATAAAAAATGGTTATTGTGGGTTATCCTTAAGAGATAGACATATACAATTGCGGACTTTTTTGTTGACCTTTTTAAGGTGTACTGCACTACATTACTGCAGTACATTATTTTGATTTATTTCATGGGGTTCAGCCAGCGTTTGCAATGTAAGCGCAAAAAAATGTGTTTATTTACGACATCACATTAGAAATCTCTAAATTTATCAGTGTTTCTCTACAATATTATGTATGTATTATACATATAAATCTTTCTCTTGCCTCACTTAAAAAAAAAAAAAACACTTCAAAATCTGTTGCGTAGTATTAAAGATTTGAGAATACGTAGGGACGGACAGACAGCGATAGCGACTGTTTGTCGATATGTATATAGCGATTGTTTTATACTATGTAGTGATAGTGATAATGATGATGATGATATTTATACTATTTCTGTGTTACTTGAGTCTTCCGTCAGCTTTTTTCAATGGGTTAAGTCGGGTCTAACAATAGTGTGATTGAATATTTGTATTCAAATATGATCATTGTAACTTAACACATAATAACACGAATCGTTTTGATAGTAGGATATCAATGCTATCATTGATAGGTACTTTACTATCAAAACCTATCGGTAGCATTTGATTGAAAATGTAATGTTTGTTCGTTGGATACGCTCTCCATCTGATTTTGGGCTTTGTTACTATTATTATTTGTTACTGTTAATATTTACGACCAAATATAGCTTAAATGATATTACATCAGATTACTAATTCTTCGACAAATTCTTTAAGCAATAGATTTTATTTATATTAGTTATTATATTTACTAAAGTGTTTATCTGGATAATGGATTATTTATTAATTTTGTCTAATCCTACCATCATTAGCATGTGTGAGAATATAATGAATTTAGAAAAAAAGTATTAAACTATGTCTTAAGATAGCTTTAATACTAATATAATAAAGTCTAGATCAGCATCTTTGAATACTTGTACCTCTACTTACCAATACAATCAGGAGCCGTATCATTGACTGGATATCGTGACGAAAATTCAAAGAGCTCATTAGTCCTAAAACAACATAAACTTGTGACTTGTTTAAACAAGACCCTGGCAAAATCAACGGGATTGCACGTCGTATTAAACATTCTGAAAGTTCGGACGTGGGGTTCGAGCCCTTTTCGATGAAAAGAGGTGACATGTTAAAGTTTACTTTCAGAACACCCAGAATTGTTTATTATTAATACCGCAAAACAAAAACTCTTGTATTATCCGATGTTTATTTTGTTTTTCAGTTTCTACCAAATTTGGAAACGATATAATCAAAGAATTACAATAGATATATTGTTCACAGTATCACGATTATAGTGTAACCTATACAATTAGATAAATTCTACTATAATTATATTATTATTTTCAATTTTCTCTAATCATTCAATATATAAATGTCTATGACACTATTGACACTAGACACTTATGAGTATATTAATTTGTGATGAACTCTGTGGTACAGTGATGGAAATATTGCTTTGCGTAAATGAGGTTTTATGTTCGATTTCCAATCGGGTCAACTTAGAAAATAAAAATCTCTGTATTGGCTTGGGTTTATGTGTGTTGGGTTGTACTATTAGATGTTCCTTGGCTGGTTACTTAGTATAAAGATTTGTGCATGTTAAATCTCCTGATAATAAGAGTTAGTTGTCCATTGAATACTAGCAAAATGTATCTTCCTATAAATCTTTGTAAAAGGGGTTTTCCAGAACTTATCCGCTTTTTCACGAACTGTTTCTTTACTTTTTAATTGAGCTGTCGTAGACGGATGAATGGAGAAATTGAAAGAAAAAAGTGCTTTTTTATTTTTTTATTTTTCTTTATGTCTAAAAAAGCCAACTGTGTTATTTTGTAATTGGACAAAGTATAAAGTGTCTAGTGTCATCATTTTCTCCCTTATACCTACTATACTAATGAAACTGTGTATTGAAAATGACACGGTCAAATTGCAGCTTTCTCATTTGGCATCGTTGAGTTTTTTAATATTTTTTCCCTGAAACAAAGAAATCACAGCTAAGTTTGCAACAGACCAGCAAGTTTGTGAGACTTCGATCAACTTTTTTTTATCGGACATTCGATACCTTACTTAATTGAAAAGTTTTAAAAAGACCTTTATAAAACTTTCCGGATAGACGGACACTTATAATTAAGTCTGGGATGTTATTTTTCACGGTAAAAATGTGCTCTTTGATTGTGTGTAAAATGATAATTCTGTAAAAAAATAATGTTCATGGGATTTGTGAATGATTACGTTCAAAGTACTAATACACAATATTATCTATAGTTAGTCGTGCTTACAATAATATAGGTATATCAAATCGAGGTATTATAATGTTTTTTTTTTATACAACTTAGAATGGCAAACAAGCTGACGGTCCACTTGACGGAAAGTGGTAACCGTCGCCTATAGACATGAGCAGTACCAAGGACATAACAGAGTATACTGTTTCGCCCATGATACCCCCCATACGTTGCCATTCCTGAGGACTCAGGTGCTATTCCTCTTCAGTAAATTCACACCATATCTTCAAACCGAAACACAGCCATGCTTACAATCTTCACGGTTGAAACACGAATGGGACGTGAGCAATGACTTTTGTGAAGTCTCTCTCTGGATTAATGATGTAATTTTTAACGACCTGAAATGCGTTGCAACTTTGCTTCATGTTCTTCATAGCAGTCTATAGAGGAGGCTTATATCCAGCAGTGGACGTGTAATGACTGAAATGATGATGTAATTTTTACTTGCAACTTTGTTCATCAACTCATCATCAACTTTGTTCAGACTTTATTGAGTAATAAACAAACAAATAAACTTATGACGTGTTATTATTTATTTATAATGTTTATTATAAATAAATTAGGTTGCAAAGTGTCATTATCGTTAATCTAGGATATGAACTATCTGTATACTGAAACTAATATAAATCTATTCAGCCATTCATGTGTGATTGGGCAACAGAAATCACATATTGGTAAGATTAGTAAGGATGTAAGAATTTATAGCAAGGAAGTAAGAATTATCACAAATGCTTACTATTCCGAGAATAGCACTTCTGCAAGATTAACCTTTTCGATTAAATAACACACGCGCTATTAATATGAAGCAAGACATAACAATTATCTAGCGAGTTATAAAGATGATTATATTATGTTACATAAAAACTAATTACTTGTCATGAAAATTTTTTATATATTTTTTGTTTGCAGTCTTTTGTAATATACTGAAAAAGATACTTTTTTGTAGACTTTTTTTAGTGAATATTTTATATTTTATATGGAACGATGCAGAGGAATAAACGGTATAAAATTAATTATAAAAAAAGGTTAGACTAAAAAAATATGATTGGCGAAACGTTGGCAAGACAATCGTGTGGAAAATTCCTCGCAATTGTTAAGGTCAATAAACATTTCGTTTTTATTATACAGTCTGAAATTATTACGATTTTACCAGAGGGAGATTTTGCACAAAATTCGCTTAGCAATTGTGCTCGCATGGTTATGATTCGGTTTGAAGGGTAACATATGTTAGTGAAATTACAAAGTATGGAGGCGTAGCATCTTAGTCCTTAGGGATGACAATTCATTATATGTATAGATGTATATATGTATACTTTTATATGCAGGTATTAATATATAAATACTATATTAATATTTATGTTCATTTTACAAATGCTTGCATGTATGTAATTACAACCTCGTACTAAAGTATAAATATTTTTTAAACCGCTATCGAGAATCTCTGCACATCCTAAAGGTTGACTGGTAGAGAATGCTTATAGCATTAAGTTTACCTTTTATACAACATTTATTGATTAATAAACTTTAAATAAATAAATGGCAACACATGAGGGGTGTTTTTAATGTACCTAAATCGACGAATGTTCTCACAGTCTAACATGTTCCGTTTCAAATGGCTTAGATATTGCATAAAAAATATAAGAGACGTATGATTTGTTTTTGTTATTTTACAAACTTCGATGTTGTCTTATAAAATGTTATGAAACAATTTGCACTCACGGATGATTTTTCTCATAGATGCTAGGAACAAGAAAACAGTTGGATTCTCGGTACAAGATATCTCGTTTCTTACTGCAAGGCCATGCGATACTCCAAGCTTCGTTCTGAAATGAAGTACAATTTTCATCTAAAGAAAAATATCATTTCTTGAGAATATTACTATAGAAATTTTTGTTATTGTTGTTTCTTATAAAGTTCATGAAGTTTATATTGGAACTATTTAAAAATATAACTGTTTAAAAATAATACAATAGAACTATATTATAAATTTATCATTGGTATTACAATCAAAATGTTTTATATTTATAAAACAAATAATAAACGTTTAACGTTTAATAAAATAATAAAATAGTTAAGTAAACATTCTAATTCATACCGCTTTAGCTCCTTTAAAACGATAACGATATTTTTGTTCTTCGGACGCGCGTAGAAGTCTTTCCTCTTCCTGATCTTCGTCCTGTATATTGTAATAATAATTAAATTGTGTTCTAAGAAAAAATACTTCAATTGTAGTAAAACTAGTTGTTTTGATTTTAAAACTAAACCACTGAACAAATTTTTATAAAACTTCAATGGGATTGCTCTGTAAGTACATATATCCTTTCAAATGAAGAAAGAATTTTCCAAATAGGATTGACAGATATTTAATAAAAAACATACAATCAAATTGAGAACCGTCTTCATTTTAAAGTCGATTGAAAATACTTGTAAATCTACATTAATTCATTCGAAATAATTTTAGGCTATATATTATGGCATGCTCATGTTACAAATTAATTAAGTGGCTATGTGTTGGAATGACATAATACCAAGAGGTATAGTTTACTATGTACGAGGTCTGTCCGGAAAGTTCGTATAAAAGTGTTCTGGAATATGGGGAGGCCAGGTAAGCGCAGGACCCCTTCCTTATGTCCCTAACAATGCTTCAGTTCTGGTCTGACCGCCGTGCGGTGCGAACTGGCTTGTCACGCCATCTGTGAAGTTACCTCTTAACGAAAATGGAGCCCGCTTCCGTTGAAGAGCAGCGCGTCGTAATCAAGTTTCTCTCGAAACTCGGCAAGAATGGCCGTGAAATTTTTGCCGATCTCAGAACAGTTTATGGGGATGATGCTGTGAAGGAACCAACCGTCCACAAGTGGCTAAAAAGATTCAGAGAGGGCCGAGACAATGTTGATTGTTTTTTTCGATGTTCGGGGGATTGTCCATCAAGAATTCGTCCCTCCAGGCCAGACAGTTGATGGAAAATTCTACGTCGATGTGCTCAGACGCCTCAAAGCTCGTGTGGCACGAGTTCGTCCAGAATTAGGGGCGTTGGATTCTTCACCACGACAATGCCCCTGCCCACACCTCTCTTGTTGTCCGTGAGTTTTTGAGTAAAAATTCCATTACGGTGACCGAACACCCCCCCTATTCGCCGGATTTGGCCCCGTGTGACTTCTTCTTGTTCCCAAAAACCAAATTGGTACTTCGGGGGCGGCATTTGGGGGACATAAATGAGATAAAAAAAGCTACGACGGGGCAGCTGAGAAACCTACAACCAGAGGACTTTCAAGGAGCCTTCTCACAGTGGAAACGACGTTGACACAAGTGCATTATGTCACAGGGGGAGTACTTTGAAGGGGATAAAATTGATTTACCTGAATAATTGTAAAATAAAATTTTTAAAAAACTTTTATACGTACTTTCCGGACAAACCTCGTATATACAGTAATTATAAATATTTCTGTTATGCGATAAAATAACATTGAATATTAATTTCCAGCCAATATCATGGAATTTTAGTGAATTCCTGATATTTTAGCAATGTTGCACTGCAAAGTTAGGTAAAATTATTTATAACAGTAAAATTATTAATTAAAAGTCAGAAGTTTAGGTTTATTAATCAGTAATAAATTGCGAGTCTTACAAAGGACTAAGTTTTGTTTTACAAAGTTTAAAAATGAATACCAATTGTTCAGTATGACGCCTATGGCCACTTTCTACCATGTCGATGACATGGCGTGCCGTATGCCATCGACAGGCAGTTCACCCTCATACCCTACAGCCTAGATGGTCGCATATAATTTGGTTTTAGAGATGTTTTCTCCCACAAACACTCAAATTATGGAATGAGCTCCCTGCCGAGGTTTTCCCAAAAGATTACAACATGGGGTTCTTCAAAAAGGGTGTAAAGAGGTTTTTTTAGGCTCGGCAATGCAAACGTAATACCTCTGGTATTGTAGGTCTTTATAGATTACGGTAACCGTTTACCATCAGGTGAGCCGTATTCTTGTTGGCCACCTCAGTGGTATAAAAAAACAAATGCCAGTTTTAAAGAATGAGTTACGGTAAATAACATATAAATAAAGCAATATATCCAATATATAAATAGCCAAGTCGCCGACGATTCACATGAGTCGGAATTACCAACCTCAACACTTCACACCAGCTGTCAGAACTTTTCTAATAAAGTAAAAATGAGTATATGAACCTCCTCGGGATATGAGTATATACTCACAAAGTCATCTTGGTACACATAGTAGGTGGGTTCGTCGACGTCTGGTCTGGAACAGAACAATGATAATTAGCAGCGGAGTAAACTTCAACAAAATAAATAACGCCCTTCAAACTTTAAATTAGTTTTGCGCATACCTACTAACTTGGTGAGAACATGGATCATTTCTACTTTTAGATACTAGCATTATTTATTAATGTTTACTACTAGAATTATTAATTTAAATTAATTATGTAAATAATTCTTGTATTCCAACTAGAATTACATTTATCATCTATATATAAAACTCGGTTATTTGTAGAGGGTGACAACAACATTATTAGAATTTTCTTAAGGATTTAAGGGTAGGTATCGAAAATGTCTAAAAAAGTTGTTTTTTTTATACTAAAATAGAATAAGGGAAAATATAATAAAATATAATAAATAAATACCACAATTATAAGTAGCATTTAATTAAAATAATGTACAAAAAATATGTTTCTCTGTCTGTGTGTGGCATTTCAAAATATAAAATATAAATTTTTAAACTAAATAAATGCAGTTATTTTAAATTAGTTTTCTATACGAATGAATGTAGATATATCGTATGGCATATGTATCGTTTTTAGCTATGTTTGACGTAAATTGACAGAATTGCTTCTATGTTATAGATGTGAATAAAAATTTTATTCTATATATATATATATATATATATATAGAGGTATATATATATATATATATATATATATATATATATATATATATATATATATATATATAGAGAGAGAGAGAGAGAGAGATAGAGGGTATATAGAGATAATTACGAATCCCTTAAATGTTGTTTTTAAATATTGAAAATGGGGAACAAGCTTGTGATCCACCTGCTTCTAAGCTTTTAGATATGAACAAAATAATGGACATCGTTTATATTACAATATAATGCAAAGGCAGGATGCCTTTCAACGTTGTAAAATAGAGCAGTCTTTGGTAGTCTTCGAACAACTTATATAAAATATTCCCAAAAGAGGAGTTGGTAAAATATAAAGTATATTCATTTAACAAGAATCAAAATGTATATGTAAAATATATGTGTAATAGAATTTATTTATAAATATATAAAGGCACGAACTCCAATTGAAACAATTAATTAAATAATCGATTTATGATAGTACTCGTAGTACAAATAAAAAACTGATTCAATGTTTGGATTTGTACTAATTTCATTTAGTATTTCGTGATAATTTCAATAAAACCCGGATACCTGTGCATTAAGTTCTATAAACAACAGGTATGTTTATTTTCATATACTTTTTAACTTAGGTAAACACATACATTTTCTGGGAAAAACGGGTTTACTTAGCTAATACCGTGAATGTATCATTTTAATGTACCAACAACAAAGAGCTGATTTGCAGGAAATCTCTTTTTTACGTATTCACTATTAAAGAAACGAAAACCAAAGCTTACTTACGCTGATAAACTTAATTTTATTTCAATGCCGGACTCGACGATCAGGTCATGTGCTTCTTGAACTGTAAGTTTTTGTGTATCAATACCGTTGATACTATTCAGGATATCTCCTACTTTCATCCCAGCATGTTGAGCTCGACTGCCATTTTTCACCTAAAACAAAAAGATATCTTATAATAGAAATAGGAGAAATATTCAAATGAAATTTTTAATTATGTAACAGGTAATTTAATACTCTAATAGAGAATGTCACAGCCTAGTATATATAGATACTAGGCTGTACAAATTGTTACAAATTATAGACCTAGAAGGGCAAAAGTTAGAGTCTGGCACTCCTAAAGCACATACTAAACATGTTATGTTAAAGTTTCGACTTATTCTTTGCTGGTATAATATATATTATTATTGACCATTAGTCATACCATCATCATGCTCGTTTGCCCCCTGTGTTGTAAAAAAAAAATAAATATTATTATTATTTTATATCAAATATTGTGTAAAATTATTTTATAAAACAAGTTAGTTCATATGATGGCGCTAGTTTTCTTCTTAGCACGTTTAATTCAAATATATTCGACGAAATGTGAACATTGTGACAAAACATTCCTCTCGACGGCAACAGTCGACAATTGGCTCCTGTCTATCAGGTATTATAGTGGTGGGCGTATGGCACATTTGAATATTTTTATTTATGTGCTATTTATTGTTAAGCGACTTACTTCCAAAAGGTTCTCAAGATTTACGTTAATATAAGTTTCGTAGACATATTAATTATAAAATGTTTGAATTTAGAGTACAGTATCGTGTCTACAAGTAAATATTGTTTCGCTACTGCAATTTCAGTAATCATAAAATTAATAAGGAACCACCACAAGATAACTAAAATAACAAAAAAAAAAAGAAACTTTATCAGTACAGATCAAAATCAAGACAAAGACAAATCTCTTTCTTTTGAAAATTGATGTAAATATCATATAATATATACACATAAGAAATAATGGCGAATTAAGGTATCACCACCCTTTTGAAATCGTTTAATAAATAGATCTAAACTCGATCCTTATTTGATATTGCAATAATATGGCGCACAGTAGCTACTACAGTGCGCCATATTATTACTACTATTAGTACTACAGTACCACTTTTATGGCATCGTAAAAGTTTGTTTATAACATTTTATTGCCTATATAAATATGCAGGTACATTATCATAAACATCATCATCATATCATAATGACAATCAATTATCTCTAAAAGAATTTTTTTTCAGTCAGCTATTGATAGGTTGATGATGCTGTGAAATACCGTAAATTATGTGAAATAAATTATATATATTTAAGAAATATATATTAATAAGGATATTTATAAGGGTTTACGATCAACAGCTCTTTAAGTACATAACAATTGCATTAGGTGTGCATATTAGTAACTAAAAACAAACTTTATTCACTATGGATAGGGTTATTTTTTTTCATATTGTATAAAAATAGATAGATAGATTATTTATTTGCATCACTTGCAGTACACAAATAATAATAGACACAGATAGACATACATGATAAAAAGAAATAAAAGAATACATGTACAAAATAAAGCAAAATGCATAAAAGAAGTAACAATTTGTCCCTTCATGAATGTGTCAGAGTAACATAAAATGGTCACAACTCAGTTTATTACTTTGCTCTCAAAAGAGCAAAACACTGATATTCTGTTGTAGCCAAAAGCCAGCTGCGAAATGTCTTAATAAAAAATAAAGAAAAATGTATAAAATACATAGTGTGTGTCCATTACATTCACTACTATTTAAAATTTTATTTTTAATAAATAAACAATTACATACTCAGGTATATTGGATTCGATCTTCCTACAACACTAGTATTTGACTAATAATATCTTAAAACACGTTGTACATATCGAGTTCAAATTATTAATGTACTGAACAAGATGTATAATCGATTTGATCAGATTGTTACCTGTGTTATTCTCAAAGGAGTGTTGTAGTAAGCTCCGCCAGCTAAGTTGAAGCCCCATATTGTATCATCAAAGTTGACGCGCTCGTGTATTCCTTCATTATCTGATTTCCATGAAGGTAATTTATCTGCGTTTTGCAGCATTAATTCTAGTTCCTTCTGCAGTTTCATCTGAGAAAATAATTAATATACGTTATTGTTCGAAGAGCTTTGAATTACTATATTATGTTTTTTGATGTTTCTATTCGCTCAAAGTATTTTGAAAATATGTAAATAATTCTATGCTTCCAATAATGCTTCCAATAATTCAATGCCCCAGTGTTGTAAAAAAAAAATATAATAAAAATTGTTTCGAATTCAGTCGTTTATTACCATTAAATTACACTGGTTCACAAATTTTAAGATTTTTCAAAGTTTTTCAGTGTTTATTAATTAGTTAGCCAGTGTCTCTTCAGTGAAATTTAGTTTATTTACAATATATACAAACCACAGTTTGTAGTTTGTTATAGAAACTGAAGCCTGTAATCCTAGGATTATGTGTGCTACAGTGGTTCGATTCCCCTAAAAACAAACCGTTGAAGTTAAGAAGTTGTTCTACCGAAGTCCTATCCAAAGTTTGTATTGACGTATTACCTGTTACAAGTACAATTGACCTGTTAACCGTGAAACAAATGTTTCCAGTTATAGGTATTTCTCTTTGTACTAAGTTTTAATACATGTAAATAATATTGAGTATTAAATGAAATTATGTCGATACTATGTAATACGGTAATACGGTAATTGTATACCGCATTTCATAGTGATTTTATGCCGTCAAACTCATTTTCACATTTATGATATTAGTAGGGGAACATAACGCAAATGACATTACAATATATAACAAATAGTTTCAATGACTGAGTCTCTATGATTTCGTCGCAATTTTCATAATAGGAATAGAGTTATAGGCTTCCATTTTTGCTTCAGACAAGTATTAATTAATGCAAGTATTATATATTAGTTATATGTTGATTGATCGCATTGAAAAGTAATTTATGTCTATTTCAATCCCAGATATATCGTGTATATCAAATTATCCATGAAATTAATATGTGAATGTTAAAATTTAACTGGTTAAGGTCTTAAAAGAAATTTAGAATGACGCTAACACTAAATTATTTATGTCTACAATCTTAGATTAATTTAATTTTTATTAGCAATGAAGTTAGTGGATAGAAATAGATATAAACAAACTTACATTTTTGACTTTCTTATCCATCTTAGTCAAAGATAATAAAAGTTGGGAAATGTAAACTGCAAAACTTGAATTGCTACGAATACGCTTTTTGCTTTAGCGAGTCCGCTGAGTAATGAAATTGTACTGAAGCTGGCGCTCTTTATTCATTATCTTAATCACTGATGCATAATCGGGGGGCCTTTGTTAATTGGACGTTATTAATAAACTGCATAAGTATGATGGAAATAGATAGTGGTATCTTTCATCTTCAAATTAAGGGCAGTTTTCGTGTTTTTCTGGTCAGTAGGTATATAGTCTAAAATAACATATTTTCTCCACAAAACAAGTAATTAAAATTCGTTTCGGTTTTTAAAAGTGTTGAGATTTTATAAATAAAATTAAAGACTTGCCGTGTGGTTCTGGCATAGAATGAGCCACCCCTTCCTTTCTTGTGAATTCCTTTTTCGTGAATGTCACATTCCTTACAATACTGATTATTTGATTATAATTATTTTGTTTCATTCCGCTACCGTTAGAATGTGTGTGACTGCCAACACTCGAAAATTTACTGCCAACACTAGAAGATATGACTATTACTACCAAAAGATCCAGAATCTTTCATATTAGCCATCAATCTCCGACTGTCATTTTATTCGCGTGATAATTTTAGTTTTGGTAATAACACAATATGCAATACTAAATATTTTTTTATACCATTGAGCTAGCAAACAAGCATACGACCCATCTGATGTTAAGTGGTTACCGTAGCCTATGAACAGCGTTGCCGACCCTGAAGAAACCTCGTTACCCCCCTTTTGAAGAACCCCCTGTAGTCTCTTGGGAAAACCTCGACAGGGAGCTTATTCCATAACCTAAGTGTTCGTGGGAGGAAATATCTCTGAAAGCGCGCTGTACGCGACCATTTAGGCTGTAGGACATGAGGATAAACTCCCTGTCGATGGCGAGCCGTACAATGGTAGAAAGTGGCCGTGGGTATTGTAATAATGTAATTTGAAAAGGGTCACACATATATGCGATACATACAATTTAAAAGCTAGTTTAAAAATGTTTTTAATAAACATGTACAACACAATAAGTAGGCAATTAGGTTTGATATGAATTAAATAGCGACTGTTAAATAATAAAATCATTTCTAAAATTTGAAATATATTGAAATGTGTTTATGTACAAATTGCCATAATTATTTATAGTTTATTTGCTGCGAAAGTTTCGTAGATTTCTACATTGTTGTACAAATAATATAACCGTAATTTGTTTACCTTTAAATGAAATCAAACCCTAATTAACAAACCAACAAACATTGGTCTTTCTTTCTGATGGTTGCGGGTTCAATTCTCGCATATTCGTTTAAGCATTTGTATTCATGAATATGTCTATTTGTTTTGGTCTGATTGTTTTTTTGTGTTAAACATATCTGTTTATAAAAAAAATATCTAGTTAGTTAACTAGAATTATTTAATTTAATTCTGTTACGGTTAGTAAGTGCGCGCCTGCCAACATTCGCAAAATATCACTTAATTTAGTAAAATAAATATTTATGTTTCAGTTATCTAGTACCCATAATATAATATGTATTTAGTATGGTATTTAATGTATACGTATTTAATGTTTGTAATATGTTTAGTAGCATTTATTTATACCTATTTTTATTAGACGTTGATCAAAGAAACTTTTTCATTATTATTTTTTTTTATATTTTTTACTAAAGTGACTTTAAGTTGGTTATATAGCTCAAGCACTCACAAGGCAACCGATAAAAAATATAGTTTTTGAGTGTCGTCCTGGTACAAGCAAACGTAGTTCAGATAGATTACTAATTTTAAAAATATTATTAGAAATCGATAAATATAGCTGGATTACGATTTTTTCTTGAAGTAATTTTTGAGGAATGCCTGTAATTTAATAGTAGATAATGAAAGGCTGAAAATAATTTTATAATGACAACAAATTATTTATTTATATTTAAAATAATAAATGCAATCGATAACCAACTTAAAAAAAAGGAAAAGGTTCTCGTGTCGACTATATTTTTTGTGTAGATATATTTTGTGTAAAATTTTCTAAAATTGCAAACCTATTTAAATATTTTTATTTAATTAAAAAGGCTTTACTTAGACTGATTCCACATCTATTTTCTTAGACTGAAGATTTCTTTTTGACAAAAAAAGTCTATCTTTTTAATTAAAATACGGTTTGATACCCTTAGGGTAGGTGTGATTGCATTTGACCTAGTTTTTACTACATTTATTACAGTCGATTTTATTAAATTAATTTGGAGAATTCGTTAGATTTTATTAATTTTTTTAACGCTTTTATTGTTTTTATTATCAAATTAAAATACACAGAAGGGTCTTAAGAGTGTGCCTTTAACTAATTTCAACTCAAAAGTTATAAATCATTAAGACTGAGTCGCATGAGAAATTATATTTTAACGTTATTAGATAAATTTATATATATAAAAAAATTCTAGAAATTCCTGCGATTTTGTTTGCGTTGTACATAATTTTTATTCATCTTTGAGTACAATATCATTTTTCTCTTTTTTGTAAAAATATTTTTCAAACTTTCTGTACTCTATATAACTATATAGAGTACAGATATACACATATACTCTAATAACCTATATATAGCTAGATATATTGTTAAAATTTCATCACAAGCAGACAGCCATTTAAACATGTAACTCTAGCACACCATTTTTGTGTCTTTATACACACAAAAATAAAAAGAAAAATCGAAACCATCGGTTTTAATAAACTACATGTACAGTTTTGTGTTTTATTATACTCGTATTTAAGATTACATAATGTATAATTTACAAGTAAATACTTGTATAATTTATTTTTATATTATACCTATTAAATTATGAGCTGATGCCGATAATATTAAAGGTTTAAGTGCTTCGGCCTCGATCATCCAAAATAAACGGTTAGAGTTATGTATTGACATATAAATTTTCATTGTCGCGCTGACAGAAGAAAACGAGTGATTGATTAGGAATTTGACTACGACATTCGGTATCCCGAGACCGTTGGCACACTATCTGGTGCATAATACGGATGTTGTTTTGTATTTTTTAGCTATGACATGTACATTGTACAATGTTATTCTAGTCTTTATTCGGTTATGCTTCAAAAGTTCTCAATTCGTACGTAATTTTTATTGTATATATGTTGTATATATATATATATGATATCATTGATCATTTGACATCTGGTTTTGATAGTTTTTTTGCAAATTTGATTTTGGTTCTTATGATTAATGTATGTCGCCTTTGTTCATTACGTTTAAAATAAATTGTTCTTAACATTGTGTACAATAAAGAATAATATGACTATTTTCTTCCAGAGCAAAATAAAAAAGTAAGATATAACCACCAGTTGTTAACAGAGAGATAGATATTCTTTATTCTTTTTATCTATTTTCGTTTTTTCTATTTGCTCCAAATAATATGATTAAATATTATTAATTTAATAAACTAAAAATTTTTAATTTATATTACATTTAAATCAAATATTTGGAAAAACTCTGAGAATAAAAAATAACATTAATAAACTAAAAATTTTTAATTTATATTATATTTAAATCAAATATTTAACGTCAGTAGACTTTACCTTTGTCCCGATAGAATCTAATAAAATGATCGATACAATTTTGAAATATCGAGTGAATGTTACGTTCACCACAATAGTCATGTTCGAAAAATGTTTCTGACTGTTCCATTACGAATTACAGACGTGCGCATATTTATTTTTTAGATATCTATATAACTGAACTTGAAATTTTTCCACTTCGCATTTTTATAGTTATCGGAATCCAATAAAAAAATCCAAACAGCAGTTTCGTATGAAATGGGCTTTAAAAAGCCGGTATCGGTAATAGTTATTAAATTTCAATTTTAAGCTTTATGCTCCTGGGCGATAAGAGGATTTTGATTCCCCTCCCAGTTTTTGCTATGTATAGGGGTGTTAGCTTTGAAAGGTGTCGCCGTTTGAACACAAAAATGTGGTGGCATTAAAATACCTAAATGGAATACATCTCGAAATTAAACTTTTCTTGTAATTAATTTTTTTGTGAACAATAAATAAATTTTCTCTACGCCTGATTGATCTCAGTAGGTATTAAACGTAAGTATCTGAAATTATTTTACGTATTTGTTACTAATTTATATACAAAGGACATGATCGTATTTTTATATCGGTACCGAATTTCTGTGAGTTCTCATAGCAGAGTTGTGGATTAACATTTGCAAATGACCAATAAAATAAATTATTATTGTCATTTGACAGAAATACAAAGTTTCTCCTATAAAAATAAATCTAAATCTAGACTAAAATTTCTATTAGGGATCAACTAAATACTAAAAAAGTAAGTGATGTAGTAGTAATGTTTATGTATATGTATGTAAGTATGGGGACTAGCATCTCCATTGCTAACAATATATCTTATATTGTTACAGCAAACCTCTAAGCGGCCTCTACTTGACTGAATTCGTGGTTAATTTCTGATTAACTTGATTCCATTTTACCTTTCTACCTTCAGTAATATAGGCAGTGATAACTTCATTTTCATCCCATAAAAAAAAAAAAACACTCGCGGAAATTCTATGATAAGCTAATGTAGTAGATAAGTATTGAAATGGGAAACGTCGTTAGAACCATGATAGAGTCGCCACCCCTAAAGCTCGCATCTGCTCGAATGGTGTAAAAACGCGCTCCATTCCACGGCCGTGGGATTACGATGTCAATGTAAACAAGATCAGTAGAAATATTTTTCATGCGAGCGACGCAAATGGCAGTCGTTCCATCATTTCGCTCCATCTTCGTTTCCCATGCTTACATTTATTTCATTTCATTGTTTTGTTGTTATTTTACGGGAGAAGATATTCGTGTTTGGATTATGTTATTGTTGTTAAAGGGTCCCTTTTCTTTCTCTAACTTTAGATAAATAAAGTAACGTAATATGGAAAGTCTTTTTCAAACAAAACAGGTTTTAATTTGTTGTCAGATTTTTATGTATACATTTAAATACACGATATGAGATATCTGTATTAATTTTGATGCGATTTTCATAATTCTGTTTCATTTTGAAAAGGTTCTGTGTTGCGTTCATCTTATACAATTTTTATTAAAACCTAAGATGGTCTTTT